ATAATATTATATTTAATTAAACATAAAAATGGTTATAAAAATCATAGTTGATTACAAAGTATATTTAATTTTAGAATTTCATATAATTGGATTTGTTTACAACAAACAGAGGTTATGTAAAATTATAACTCTAATTTTGTTTGGATATCTAGAATGTAAAACCGTTTAAAAGAGTCCCTATAGATGGAAACAATATAATTTTTAATTTTTTTAAATATAAAAAATAGAGCTAATTAAAAAAAATATATAATTTTATATTTCCCTTCAAATTGAGATTCTTTACAGGAAAACAAAATCGTGTTACTAACTTATATGTTAGGTAATTAGAAATAAAAAAGTATCCATAAAAACATGTGCTTAAAAATTTGTAATTATTAAAAAAAAAAATGTTTCAGGTTCGACATAAAATTGGTTTGTTTGTTTTTTATTAATTGTTTATGAATAGGCTATCTATCTTAGTTTTTGTTCAAAGTTGGTTTATTTTTATTTTTATCATCAGATATATCATGTTAGTCATCATTGGACATAAGATCATAGGATTTGATGACAAACATACATTTAGATTTTAACTTGTGCAATATAAATGTAAAAAATACAGAGAATATAATAACGCTAAATTTAGTTTATTGTACATGTGCACGACAATGAGAAAAATGTGATTTTCTAAATTAAATTTTCAGGATAAATGCATTGTCAAATCATAAATTTCCGCAAGCAAGGAGCTTGCTCTAATATATTATTCGAGATTTCAGTGTCGATGGCCGTTTTTTTACAGTAATGCAAGTAGAATTTGGGTAAAGACGAATGGAAAATGTTTTTGTAAATCTGTAGATGAGAATGAATTTAGAAGAGTCGTATTTATAAGAATATGTACATTATTAAAATCTGAAAACAATAAAAAAAGTCCCAAAAGTTGGAAATCGTGTAATTAATATTTAATTAAACATATAAATTATCGATCTACATATCATAACTGATATGTTTAATTTTATAATTCCATATAAGTTGGATTTGTTTCTAACCACTACATCTTATAATAACTGGTATGTAGATATTTTCTAAAAAAAAAAAAACACGCCAAAACTGAAAAAAAGAATCCCAAAACTTGGAAATAATATAATATTAAATTTAATTAAACATAAAAAATGGTTATAAAAATCATAGTTGCTTACAAAGTATGTTTAATTTTTGAATTCCATAGAAATTGGATTTGTTTACAACAAACAGAGGTTATGTGAAATTATAACTCTAATTTTGTTTAGATATCTAGAATATAAAATCGTTTAAAAGAGTATCTATAGATGGAAACAATATAATTTTTAATTTTTTAAATATAAAAAATAGAGCTAATTAAAAAAAAATATAATTTTATATTTCCCTTCAAATTGGGATTCTTTACAGGAAACAAAATTGTGTTACTAACTTATATGTTAGGTAATTAGAAATAAAAATGTATCCATAAAAACATGTGCTTAAAAAATTGTAATTAATAAAAAAAATAGTTTTATGTCATGTCAAAAAGTATAAATACACGTGTTATAAGAAAAAGTCAAATATCAAATACAATTGTATTCATACATTCCCGAATAAAATTTTATGCAATATTATGTAAAAAACAAATTAAGTGAATAGTAATCATAAAGTGAATAGTATTCATTATAAGAAATTGAGCCACATTTTTTGGAAATGTTTATACCAAATTAATTACTGAAAATCTCCCGCCTTTTGTGGGCATTTAATAGCTGAACGTGAAAAAAAGAAAAGGGAAAAGAAATTGTCATTAATAATAAATAATTAATGAAGAAAGAGATTTGACCAAAAATTGACCCGCCATTTTTAAAATTGGTAAATCTTTTTATATATATATAGATATTTATTTTTTAATTTAAATTGACTATCAGTTTAATTGGAATCGTGTTGCTTATTAATGTCACAAACTGTGAACTCGTAAAAGATTGCAACAATTAATATATGTCCAATCCAATGCAATAACAACATAATAAATATTACTGAAAATTGACATGCTTATATGTGACCAATAATGCGTGTATGTTCAGTTTTTCCACACGATTTGGGCCCTCCGATCATGACCCCACGGCGGCCACCCTCGATCTCGA